GAGTTGATTAGCATGGCTCAACTGTAATTGAAAATTTGCAAAATTAGTTTCTGATGTTATGTTTGCTTTTAATTCTTTCAGGTTACATGTACAAGGCCACATGATGTGCCAGCAGCTATATTACCCTGTAAATCACAATTAGCAACCCACTGAAGCTAAGCAGGTGTGAGCCAGGCCAGTACTTGGGTGAGAGACCTCCTGGGAAAGCTGCTGGAAGAAGCATTAGTGTGACTAGTAGGTCTGTATGGGTCCTAATAACCCAGTATAATATTGGGAAACTATACTGTAAAAAAAAAAAGGCCCGGTCCTTTGGATGAGATGTAAAACAGGCCCTGAGTCACTGTGGTTATTAAAAATCCCAAGACTCTTCTTGAAAAGAGTAGGGGTGTTAGCCAAATTGGTGGTGTCCTAGCCAATATAAATTTCCCCCCTGGCTTTTACCAATCATGCCCTCCTAATAACCTACATCTACTGTATGTATTTCTTCATCACTCTGTTCTCTTCCCCACTGATAGATTTGTGGTGAGTGTACTGGTGCACTTTGGCTGCTGTTGCATCATCCAGGTAGATGCTAAACATTGCTAGTGGTGTAGTACTTGTAAAGCACTTTGAGTGGAGTGAACAGAAAGGTGAAAATCAGTGTGGAAAGCAATAATAAAGGTATAGTGTGGCAGGTATGGTGCATGCATGTGCTGACTCTTGTCAAACCTCTCCATCACGATGACCTTAACATATGTAATTTATAAAAACAAGTAAAAATAAACGTCACCAGGCACAAATAGAACGTGATCTTCCTGAGCTGCTTCTGTGAGTAATAAATCAAGTATTTCACTTGTTTTACCTTCATTCCCAAGAACAAAACAATCACACAAGTTAAACACAATATGTTTTTATTGCAAGTACACAGTATTAACATGAACCTTGAACATGTCAACCGTGTGATGGGTCCAATACAGCTCTCTTCACAAAGAAAGCTAATGAAAATAATACACAGAAAATAAAACAATCAGTAACTCTGGGTGTTTGCTTCAAAAAAAGCAACATAAAATTGTTTGCATAAGTATCAAGGAATGACTATTCCTACTTTAAATACAGTGTCTTAGGGTAAAGGTACTGAAAAAAGTTTGTATATATATATAATGTTTTGCATGCAGGTTATTTTTTTCATTATAATCATGATACTTTCAGGATAAAGTCCAGTGTTACCAATTGAATCTATTTCAGAAAGACTGGACTCTAATGTTGCTGGACACTACTACAGTTTTTTGGTCTTACACTTAAAAGACAGTATCAATATTGTGGCGCATGGCAGCAAATCCTAGGTGAGACACTGCTGTTATATTACTGAGCAAGGCAACTCACCTGAATTGTTCTAGCAAAATACTAATGTGTATAAATGGGTACAAATGTAAGTCTCATTGGATAAAGATTTAAATGAAATTAATTAGTAGTACAATGCATTATATTAATGAGTGCACTTGAATATGGCCAAAACTGGTTTTGCTTTTGTTTCCACATTATGCTGGGCAAAAGTGTATGAAATGTTTGACTTTGCTCTTCATATACTATTTAGAATATTATACTGAGAATGTCTGACAGTTTTTGTAGTATGTTTCATTTCAATTTTAGGGATACATTTTTAAATTAACTAATTTCACAGATTTTACATTCACAGAAGTACAATCTTCCTACAGAATGTTGTGGTGGATCTATACTATAAAAGGAGAAGAATCGAGAATCAATCATACATCAGAAACTCATAGTTTGGTCAGTTTATACATTTAATAATAAGAAGTAAAGTTCTATATCTGAACTTAAATCTGAGTTTAATACTCACATGGTAGTAAGAAATACAGCAAGAAAACAAAGGCATAATAATAAAAATGGATTAAGACAGTCGAGTATAATTCAAAATAAATAAAACTTGAAAATTATAGTACACTAATTAGGTGGGTGGTTTTATTAACATTACAGAACATATCTAGCACTTTTTGCCTATCTACTAGTATCTACTTGTTTATACCCATACTGACTTTATAGTTACTTTTTGTGAACAATTAGAGCTGAACATAAAAGTTCATTTTATGCAACTCTAATTTATAACGGAGCAATAAAGTTTCAAGAGATTGAAAATCATCTGTGAAAGTTGCTCAGGGTGAATTTCTGTTTTTAGCAGGTGTGCAATTATTTATAATTAAAGTTCCCCTATCTTGTTTTTCCAGTAACCACGTGTGTTTTCCATCAATGAAATAAACACAAAAATTAAAATATAATAAACATCTTTCACTGTCTCATTTATTGTGTTTATATTGAAAAGACACAGAAAGCACAAATGATCTCTGTTATATACAGGACTAAATGTACAAAATACACTAACATGCTGTTATAAGAATGGACAATACAATTATGATGTTGCTAAGTATAACCTGGGTATTCAAAACAGACACTGTTAAAAAAACAGTAAAATTATAGATGACTGAAAAGATTTCCTTTGTGAGTGCTAAGATTACTTTTTGCAAATTGTTACATTGTGTTTTATACAAAATATGTACAAAAGAAGATGATAAAGCTTGGACAATACTCCTGAACCTTAAAAAAATCTACTATAACAAGTTGGTCATAATTATTTGAGGATCCGTCAAAATAAACAAACATAAAAAAATAAACATACATGAGTCTTCTTATCAGAATATTTAGCTGTGGCTTTGGTTCCTGATATTCGAAAATATACCACTGCTTTCTACATTTTATAAAAAAGATGGTGTAAATACAGTCATTTCAGAAACATTTTTTAATAAAGAAAGGAAAATTTGTTTTGAGAAAGAACATTAAAAATAGAATGCTTAAAAATGCCAGGATACTGATAAAAATATATAATGAAATTGTTGTTTATGTTAGAAGCTAGAAAGCATTAGCCTAATGTGTGATGTGATTAAGACAAATTCTTATTTTATCTGCCAGTAAACTCATTTTGAGACCTACTAATAACAAACTGAAGATTATAGCAGTAACAAAATTGTACATGCTTAAAAAAACTCGATAAACACATCTGGGGAAAAGGTTGCATTTGAAAAAAAATATTTAACGTTCTTTTCTTATCAAAAAGGCTGACTTAAAGTTTGTAAAAAAATCTTCAGGAGAAAATTTTAATATTTAAAATAAGTAAAAACTGGTATTGTATGTTACTTTGTTTCAGCAATGTATATGGAAGGCAAATTAAATGTGACACATCCAAAGTCTATACATATATCCAATGTAAGAACTGAAAAAATATATATTTAAAAATTGCACTTGAACCTGCAGTTTTCCTTCCTTTATGGAAAAAGCCTTTATTGGAATCCCAGAGAGGGTAATATATGAATGCTGATAGTACTGGGAGATCACACCAGAGCTCCAGAGCCACTCTCTTCAACACTTTTTTTCATGATTCTGTACTACACATGTTTAATGCATTGTGGACAATGAAATCTATTATAGTTTTCTAAAACTACAGGCTTCAAACAAGGCTAACAAATAACAGCATTTCCATTAAGGACCCTAAGGGATATCTTCACATTAAAACATGGGCACTTGAGCTCTCTCAATAAGTAATGCCTGTAGTGTAATATCTGTATAATGTGGATCTTGATACCATTTCAAAGAAAATGAAATCCATAAAACTATAGTTCCAAATTGAAAAGGGTTACCTATGTTTTAGGTTTAGTTAACAAGACATTTTCAGTGCTCTTATATGACAGTAAAATCTTGAAGGTTTCCTTTCCTCATTATACCCATATCTTTTCTTGTATTAGTCAGGATTCCTGATAGGTTGTTAGCTTTTACAATCATGGTATGACCCATGATACTTGTCCATAAAAATATTTTTATAACTTAATCTAAGCAAACGGAGTGCTCCTTCCCTAAAGCAAAATTTTTTGAGTGATTAAAGAAACTATGGTTTTTACTTTCCTGCAATGACAGTAAAACACTGCACTGGCACATACTGTACACTCCAAAATATTCTAGGGATATTTTTTTTTCCCGATGCTAAACGATTATCTCAACTACCCAACCAAAGATCAGCAGTGTCACATATACATGTCACATTGATAAGCTTCATGCAGCACAAAATCTATATGTTGCGCTAAATTTAGGTTTAGGTGTTTAAGTACATGGGTTATAGCTCCATTATAAATATACCAAAATGATCTGATGTTTATTTGTGCTAAGGTACTTAGAATTAAGTAATATTAAACAGTACCAGCTTCCTGAAGCTTCTGAACTAGGATCAGAAACAACTAGCAGAAATATAAGGAAGAACTACTGTGACACTGTTTAGACACCTTATTTATAAACTATTTTCTGTGCCTACCTGCCTTCTTGAAGACTAAGTAAACAATGCTGAAATTCTTTGTTACACTCTGCTTATCAACTGTCATTGTAAATACAGCCATTAATAAAAACAGAGAAACTAAATAATGACTGTAAGTCAATAAATAGGAAAAAATATTTTTAATAAGAGTACAAGTGTGCAATAAAATTGTACTATGTGTAACGCTGAAGCAGCAAGTGAGTGATTTACTAAGTGGGTAAACCCAGGTGGAATGTTACTATTGTACCTTGGAGCAAGGTTCTTTACACAGGTTGTTCTAGTAAATGGCTTGCTGTATAAAGTGTCCAGGTATCATAAATGATAACTTATTCTCAATTGGTTTTCCTGGATAAATAAAGGATTTAAAAATCAGCCACACTGTAAAGTCCCAGTGAAAGAGTGCACCATTCTAGATCAGTGACCCAGCAATGTTAAAACATGCAATGTTCATAGGAGAAAGACCACACTATATGGAAAAAAAATTATAAATGGTTGAATGGTCTCAAAAAGGAATGACATGTCCATAACAAACAGCCAAGGCAAACAATAACTGCAGCTAAAGAAGACAATGTGGCCAGGATTGACGCACTGATGTGTGTGAACATTGGCCATCAATAGATGGTGTCACTGTCATCGCAGACACATCTTATGGTACAGTGCACACTGTAATCCACAATATTCTGGATTTCCACAAAGTGGGTGCTATATGGATACCGAAAATGATGAACTGATGAATGGAAGAAGTCACTCTTGCGAGTGTCAGCCAGTCCTAGCAAAATCTTTTGGAATAGACTCTTTATCATCTCTTCATACAATTCTTTTCATTACGACTATAAGAGCACAAGAGCATCACTGCCTCCTTACTGTCCAGATCTTGTAACTACTGAGGTTTCATCTTTTTGTCCTGATAATACAAGCTCCCCACGGTTGGAATGTGTGATGAGATTATAAATTCATATTTATTAAATCAAGATAATTTTATTATGATCACATCCACACCATGTGACAAAGTGGTAAATGTGTATTTGTGAAGGGACTTTATCAAAAATATCTTCCCATCTGTAAATGAGAGTTTGTGGATAAGTTACCAATTCACTTTATTTATTGACTTACGCATATAATAACTGGTTTATAACCTTATGAAAGCAAAATGAACTTGAAGAGTCTTAGAAAAAATATTATGTAGAACATGGACTTCACCTATGTAGCTGTGATCTACCTCATATTGTAGAATATATCCAATTGTTAAGTTGTTGGATGCAAATAGTTTAACGTTGTCTACTGGAAAAGGCCAAAATAAAGTAATGAAAATAATGCTTACTGCACACCCAAAATTAATTCCCCCAAAATAAAGCTTGCCCTGAAAGGAGTCCAACATTTTCAGCCATTCCAAAGTTTGGTTTGATTAAACATGTAAGTTTGGTCTGATTTCATATGATTCAAAACAGCTTAGCAGTTATGCCAGGGTGATATTTCCATCCTAACACGTAGTAGAATCACAAACAGGGAATGGACAAAAGATAACCCTGGAGTTTCCTTTACTGATTTAACTTTGCCATTTGTTTCTAAAATTTGTGCTTTACAACAAATGAGTAAACACAATAACGTGTCATGGCTTTAACTGAAGAGTTCAATTTAGAGCCTTTCAAGTCTGGCAAAATGTGATAATAAGAAAAAGGGCAAAAATAAAATCAAAACACATTATACTGAACTCAACAATAGTGGAATTTTAGGCTGCACCTAAAATTCACTAAAATAGTTAGGACAATGGCACTGTGATGCTAGAAACAAAATTAACACCAGAATATTTTACACATACTGTATGATCACGTTAAAATAGTGTTGATGTTGAGGCAAATAGCAATGTTATCTCTGTATTCCTAGATATAAAATAGTTTGCATAACATGGTGATACTGAATTTTTATATGGACTATTTTTTCTTCACTAATGCAAGTTCTTTTTGTATGTCAGCAAATTTGGGACGATTTTCAGGTTTATACTCCCAGCATTTTTGCATTATTTTGTAGACCTCCTCTGGACACTTCTGTGGACAGGTCATTCTGTAACCTACAGTGGATAAAAAAGAATGAAAGAAGGCATACAGACATAGTAGACACTTGTTCTATATATGTAGCCTTTAATGCTTTTGCTTTATTTTAGGTAGGCAGCCAAGTCCCTGCCTCAAGCAGTAGTTGTTTTCACTTCAAAATTATAAGGAGACATAAAAATGAGGAAGCTGTTGCAAAGGGCTTATTCAAACACAGAATGAATTACAGTAAACACTCAGCTATTTTGATTAAAGTTCCTCATAAAAGATTAATTATCAAATTGGAGGAAGTAAGCATTTGGGAAAACGCAGGTAATTAGTGGAGTACCACAGGGATCTATACTGGGACCACTGCTTTCTAATTTACATCAGTGATCTACATTCAGCTATAGTTAATAAACTAGTTATGTCTGCAGATTACATGAAAATATGAGAATTTTTAATCCCCGTTGAAGCAGCAAAGAAAACTCAAAATGATTTTAACATAATTCAAGACTGGACAAACACCTGTTGGCAACATTTAATAAACAAAAGCAGTGTTTTGCAAGCAAGTGGAAAACACTTAACCAATAAATACAAAAATGTAAACTGAACAAGAGGGTTCAACTAATGAAAAAGACTTTGGTGTTATTTTTCACACGAAATGTAGATTTTTGTAGATAATGTGGAAAAGTTAGACATAGGTCATGTCGTGTCATTTGCCAAACCGCTTTATACCATACGGTGTCGAAGGAAGCCGGAGCCTACCAGGCAAGCCTTGAGCACAAGGCAGGGTACACCCTGGATGGGGCGGCAGTCTAGCGCAGGGCAAGGGCAGGTGCAAGCGAATCATACATGGGGACAATTTAGAGGCCATGGAAAAGGGCTAGGGAGAAATTTGGCTCAGAAACAAGGATAACCTCCTACTCTTGTTGATAAATGCCTGGGGATCTTTAATGACCACTGAGAGTCAGGACCACGGTTTAACATCTAATCAACATCACATGTATTAGGATGTATATATAAGCATACCTTATATTGTGTGTTATTTTTGTCACTGTTGTATTGAAAGAAATATTGCTGCTCTGTAATTTGTCCAGAAAAAAAGTTAGATATATTACAAAACTTAAGGAAATGTCTTACAATGACAGGCTGAAGTACCTGAAATTTTTTAGTCTTGAACAGAAAGGGCAAGCATTATACAAGCATTCAAAATCATGAAAGGTTTTGATAAAGTCAGCCCAGAGGACTTCATCAACCAGAATCATGAATCATGAACCAGAAGAAAGTGGACACTATATGGAATATGGAATGGAATATGGAATTTATATGTATTTAAAACTGAAAACAGGAGGCACCTCTTTTCCCAAAGGGCTGTAGGAGTTTGGAACAAGCTACCCAGCCACTTTGAATGACATTAATACTTTGACTACTTTCTATACTACTCCCTAAAAATAACAACAACAACAACAACAACAACCCTAATATGTGACATGGTTGTGGCTTCTCTGAGCCAACTAGACCTGTACAAGCACCTTTCCTGTTTCCCTGCACCCAAGGTATACTAACTGTTACTGCCTGCTGTTGGAAATCACTGGAACATGGTTACTGAGGCATATCAATAAATGTGTACAGTGTAAAGGTGAACTGTGTTTGGACTCATGTGACTTTGCCCATGCATACAATGATGCCTGCCAATAATTTGAATCTGTGCTGTTATACAGTATATAATATAAATGCATATGTTTTTTTCCACAACAGCCCATTTATTTTGAGATAGAGAGCTTTGTGCATGCACAGCTGTAATTTAAGATCTTCGTATTGCCTCTGTGCAGTCTCTGTCCGGCCTACTCCCGGATCCACCCATCAAAGACCTCATGTAGTTATGCTGACTAGGTGTTGTTCATGAACAAGGCCTGTAATCATAAACTCAATTGTATATTAAAAAGTGCAAAAAGGGCATGAAATGTTGCGTCCTTGGAAACTAAATTAGGAATTGTTTACTGGCTCGTTCAAGGTGAAACTACACGTTCAGTGCTTCATTAAGTCAATGAGTCTGCCATTAAGACAGAGAAGAATGAAACTGTGATAAGGACTATTAGCTAGTGATTGGTGCTGGTATTACGTTATAAAATGAATTTGTTTTCGTAGGAGATATACTATGCATAAAGCATGTTTTGATGCATGAATAAAACAAATAACTACACATTTACAGTTGATGTTTACCAACAACATCAACTGTTGTTTACCTCCTGTTACTTGGCAATGGATGCCAGTATGACTAAATAACAGGGCTCATTTACAATAGAAGTCTGCCATTGTGATATAACCCCTAAGACACCCAGTAGTGGTAATTAATCTCAGGTCCTTGGATAATTAATTTGGTGTAGCAAAAATCACCCTTTAGGTGCTTTTCAGTTTGTGTGGCTTATGGCTGGGAAAGGGTGATCAAATCGTAGTTATGGTTGAACTAGGAACTTCACACATACCTTTCTCCACTTGTTCCCGAGCTTGTTGGTTTGTCATTCCTGGGTAAGGACAGACTCCTAAACTGAATGTCTCCCATAAAAGAATGCCATAACTCCATACATCACTTTCTGAACTGTATCTCCCTAGGAAAAAGAAAACAAAACATCAGATCTGTGGTTAGCTGAGTTGAGCCTGCTTTTTACAATAATGTCTTCAAGCATTTATCTGTATTATAAAATAAGGTGTACAACCGTCTCCACTGTAAATTTTTCTACTATTCAAAAAGTACTCTCAAATAAAATGTGCAATCTAGAATACCTACTTTTTAAACAATGAAACTAAAATATTACAAGAGCTTCACATCTTCAGTTCAGCAAAATGTTGGGAGACTTTTAATAGAAAAGTTGTTTCATATGGTCAGAGTCGTCAGATAGTTGCAGAATTTGTAATTAGGGGTGAAAATACATGTGGCATTTCTAAAATATTTTACAATATCAGCAATAAAAACAACAGAACCACTGTTTCTCTGCCTTTTCTAATGTGACATTAAAAAACATCAAAGCTCAAGGGTTTTGTGAAGCAATTAAAATTCCTACACTATCCAAAGAGGATGCATGACAGAAATATTGTACTTGTTATTCTATCATTTTAAACAATCTGGTGTAAATCTCTGTCCAAAAAACTGAATGTTCACAAGCTTTACAAAATATACCAATATGTTCAAAGACAGCTGCAATTTTTAAATTAGGGCTTATAAACAAAACATAAATTGTTTAAAAATCTTATTATTGTGTTTTAACAATGTTAGTGTTGTCCATTAAGACTACCAAGAAAAATCCTTTCCTTACCATAATTTAGAGCCTCGGGGGCTGTCCATTTGATAGGAATCTGCTTCAGGCCCGAAGATGAATATATTCCATCATCCTCTTGTCTGGACATTCCAAAATCACTTATCTTCAGTAAATTATTTTCTCCCACCAGACAGTTTCTTGCAGCAAGATCCCTGTGTTTGGACAAAACACACCACCAGGTATCAGTAGCCATCGAAAAAAGAAAGATTGACGATAAGGGAAGTTAAATGAGACACCTCTGCAATCAAATACAATTCAGATAAAAGGGAAATGAAGCTGAGGATCTGAACATAGTCCCTGGTCAAAACTGATCCACAGCTGAGAAGTACCAAAAAATTCAGAGCACTATGGATCTTTAGAATTTAATTTTAAAATGAAAAGCAAAGAAGGATAACTTGCTTCAGTTGTGTTACCGGGCTTCAGGAAAAATGAAAACAAGCATAACTACACTAGAAGTTATTATCTCTGAATATCAGAGAGGGCAGTAAGAAAAGGTTAGATAGAGGTCCTTGCCTCAACTACATTTCCCATAAGGCTTAAGAGGAAGTTTATCCATGCACCGTCACCTGACTGGTCGGCTGAAGAATGATTAGTCAGGTGACTAATTAAAAAAAACAAAACCTAAACACTTCCCCCAGTTGGTGGCATCTGCTGTTTTAAGAGAGCAGATTTTCTGTTATACCCTTCACCAGAAAGCGAAGGAATGAGTAAACATCCTTTGGCCACAGTGAGTTTGGATATTGGCATCAAAACCAGAGAATCAAATAGACTCTAAGAAGCTTAGCTTCCTTGCTAATTATAGAGAGGACCATTAAGACTCTAATTAAGAAGGTTTCTTTAGTTACAACTCAGAAGTGACCTAGGTTTTTTGTGTACGTTTGTCTCCTGGCACTGTAATTAAAGAGAGCTGTTTTACCATATGCCTATCTCTGCGTGTCTGGTGGTTATATCAGATCCAACTATAAATCTGCTTTTCTCTGGTGGTGTTGCTTATGTAAATCGATAATAACTTCTGTTATTACCATTTATATGAACACTGATATTAACTGAAGAATCATATGATGAGAATGTATTCTCATATTCTTCTTCTTGCAGCTTGCACTCTGGTCTGCTCCCCACAGACAGCTGATGTGTAGTGAGCTTACTGGAGCACTTTGGCTGCCTTCACATCATGGTGGTGGCGGAGTGGTCCCTATTACCTATATAATGCTTTGAATGGAGTGTCCAGAAAAGCTCTGTATTAATAATAATAATAATAATAATAATAATAATAATAATAATAATACTTCCTCTAACCATGAACATCCATTTTCCAGAAAGCAGATAAGTAATTCAACAAATATTTTAATAATGCCACTCAAGGTAGAACTTGGCTGTATTCCATCTTGCCTGTGGTGAATTCACCTGAAATTCAGGTGAAATGTTTGACATTCATTCTCTTTCCAGCCATCAGCGTGTAGGCCGTTTCATCTATAAATATGAACCACTCTATCCCCTCCGCACCCACAACATTCAATATGTTCTTAACAACATTAAAGCTTTCATGACTGGTGTAACACATACTCCTACCATTGAAGACAGAACTCTATTCAGTGGTTAGCCCGTGTCTGTCCTGCTACCAGAACAGGTCTTGTGAATTGTTTCACAAAGCAATTAGATCAAATTCATTATTGGTACATGCAAATATACAAATAAAATTAAGAAATATGCAAAAAAAAAGACAATTCCAGAAAACTAGGACAGCATAATTTTCATAATCTGCATTTAGTGAGCAGTGCTAGGTATAAACAGTGCTTGACAGACTGCTTAGGCAAAAAATGGAGCAGGTGAGATGTTAAGAGAATCAACATCTCACTTTATTTTGTGTTTTTTTTTATTTCAGAACAGAGTTGGCCAAAGTTAAGTTTACAGGAACATTGTGAAAAAATCTAAACAATGGAAAACATGATCATTGTAAATTTATCAGAATCCTGACCTATGAGCAGCAAACATTTTTTAAGATATTTAAAATGTATTTTATTTGTTAAATAACAAGGCAGGTGTTTGCATGTAAAAATGCAGCCAGATGCTTGTATGTCTGTTCATCTGTGACATTCTTTTTTTATGTACCCATTAATTGGCTATTATAGAAACATCATATAAATTAAACATTAAAGTAAATTACAAATAAAATAAAAATCCTTATTTTATGTAGTAAAAAACTACAACATTACTACATAAATATAAAACAAATGATGTACATTGATAAACGACATTATATAATGTGTATTTATAATGTACAAATTATATATATTTAGTATGTAAATAATTTGCAACTCTGAAAGTTTTGTTCAGTTCCAGATAAAAGCTAGTTTAATTACCAGATTTCCCTACAAGTCAGGAAATGTAATGAGCTTTGTTATATAACATTCCAGGTCTTCTCTCACAGTGGAGACAGACACATTGCAATTAAATGTATTTAAAGTTTACAAAAAAAAATAAAACATGATCTCACTGTGTCTAGTTTGCTTTGCTTAATATTCAGAGGAACATGGGTATAGGTATATTGAAAATCTTTACATGCACATGGTACTGTATGTAAAAAGTACCACAAATATAACTGCAATCAGGAATGCCTGCTTGCAAATGCTAAATATTTCTAAGTAGTTTATTAAGAAGAACAAATAGTCACTTTTGTCAAGCTTTCAATATTACTCAAACTACAAACAAGTGGCTGTTTACATTCTTCACAGCAATCAGGTACTGCCAAGTGCCAAGTGATTCCATGCATACCTCTAACTATAAAGAATCCTTTTGGTTTCCAGATGTTCTCCTTTTATCCCATGAAAATAATTTAATGAAACAGCTATTTCTTATCAAAGAGCACTACACTGCATTGTGTAAAAATCAAAGGCTCTTCTTTTCTCATAACATAACAGGGAAACCTTTCTAGCCTTACACAGCAAAGCAAAAGATACTCCTTGCTGTTGATTTTCTCAATTATTCTGCTGCGTATACAGAAACAAAATGCTAATTTCTTTATTCAAGCAGCTCATGCATAAGGGTAAATTCTTTTGTTTTTAAAGGAACAAGCAAAGGTAAATTTCACACAGAAACACAAAAGGAGAAATGCAAAGTTTCTGTTCAGACGTCTTCAGGTGTGCTTTATTTCTGAAATACAGAATATTTAGGAAATTTGATAAATCCCACTGCTACAATGTTTTTTTTAATTAATTCAATGTTATATCCCTTACTTGTTCTTATATTGTGAACTAAGTCGCAGCTCAGTCAGGTTCACAGCTGCAAATCTGCTAGCACAAGAACAGTCCATGTTTCTCCCTGAGCTTTAATTGATTTAAGAAAGGTTCAATCACGTAAAAATGGCAGAGACTGATTGCCATTTTATACTTCTATGCTGACTAAATGCATTATGCTTGGATGAATCAAGCTTGTCTTAATTTGGATTTGGACACTTCTTTCACTATAATTAAGTTAGCAATTTTGAGAGACACTGATCTTTTGGTACAAAACTAAATGGGAAAAAAGACCGATATATCATGTACTTCTAAGATCACTGGACTGCAAACCTGGTGATCTGACTTGTTTTCTTCTGCAAATGTCTATAGATTCCACTACCTGACAGCAGCCTCTATCTGAAGTGAGCTATCTCACATTATATTGGTGTTTCATATCAAAGACTGGAGGTGAGGAGGTATGAATGTAGAAAAACAATACACCATCAACATAAAATAGTCTTATACTTTTGAATAAGTACTTCAGGCATAATCTATGGTGTACAGTACCTATTGTAACACAAGTGTGAAACAGCAACAAAAATCAGGTTTTGTTCATTTATTTACTTCATATCAGATCTAGCCTATTTCTATACAATAAGTGATGATTAAGAGGTATTCATTAAATTATATGTAACTGCTTTTAAAAATCTCCAATATGCCACAGACTTTGCTTAAGATCCCTGTTTACTAAAGACAAGACTGAAAAGCTAAGTGAATAAAAAATGCAAAAGCTAAGCTAGAATTTCAAGGTTAAAAAGCAAAATTTGAAAATGTCCTATGCAGCAGGATTTAGAAGTCTCCATTTAACCTTTTCCGAATTTAAAAAATTACTGTATTGTTAATAAGTGCTGCAATTTAAAAATAGTTTTGTTGTACCCACAGTTTCTTACAATGATCTGCCAAAAAATAACGACATATTTTAAATAATTCATCACTTCACTGCTTTTTGTAAAGGCTTGGATACCAAAGGTCTATTAAAGACAGGTCTGTAAAAAGAAGTGCATGAGTTTCAGCTGATATCACGGAGGCAGGGATTTAAATTCCACATACTAGCAGAGAAGGCCCCCAAACCTTGACCACTGAGTGCTGGGATTCATATAATTAAAAGGCACTGAATGTAATGGAGCCCATAGCCACTTCAGTTTTTTTTTAAAAAAAGAAACACATTTTTGCTGACTACCTGAGTCTCCACAGGAATAGTTGGTATGTTATCCTGCTGCTAAAAGTAACTGCTTCCATGAGATAAGTAAGAGCAATGAGGGAGATTAGATTTGGAAAACGGAATTCAAACATCAGAGGCACTTTTCCATCAGGATTATCTTTTCTTCAGAAAATTGTTTTATTAGAGTACTGTATACTCGCTTAGCTTGCTCTGTGTAAAGAGGACATTACTCAAGGTATACCTTTAATTTTGAAACTGATACTCTAGTAAACAACCAAATCCAATAATGTGTTCCTGCACTGTGCACCCTCTAAAATCCTAAAAAGATAAGGCAGCTTACAAAACAAAACAATAATTCTGGGTGCCCAAACAGTTCAACTGGTAAAAAGTGCAAGCAGAGTTATATGATTCAGATGCAAGTTCAACTAATGTATAGAATATCTATATACAGTATATGATATGTAGTAGATCTATGAAGCAGAAATTGCAGGCATTTACTAACCATGTCTTTAAGTTTACAACTATAAGCAAGATAACAGTTTTTTAAAGGTATAATTGAGTTTTTTTTATTCTATACAACAAAAGGAATATAAAAAACTCAATAAACAAATAATAAGTCATTAAAAAGTCTGTCATTTGTGTCCTTTGTTTCTGGTTCATTGTTGTTTTTTCTTGTATGGAAAAAAGCACATAAAAACAGAAAGGTAACAAAAGA